TCTACCAGAAGTGTGAAACACAGCATAAGTGGCACAGAAAATCAATGCCTTCTGAAGTCCTCAATATCCATTGCTCCAATGTAAACAAATTTCTTAAATATTGAAGCCAATTGCATTTTAAAGCTTAAGACAACTTAAAAAGTGATAATATACAGTGTAGATAACATTACACATACACAATACTGGAAGACTGCTAACTTACAGTAAGTGAGCTTCTTTATCTTAATCCTTGGCATATATAAAAATAAGTACTTTAAAGTGCATGGTTCCAGCAAGTGTAGCCAAGAAGAGACTGCATTCTAAGCTCAGAAGCTTGATGATTAAAATCTGCCTAGCAAGAGAACATTTTTATCTTATGCATAGCAACACTCCAAAAGGACATGTTAATTAAAAAACCCAATGTGTAAATACAAAGAAAAAACCAACCTGATACTGCTTTTTCTGTCTTGCTAGGAATTATCCTTTAAGGGATGACTTCTGCCTTTTCAGTTTTACAGAGCAGAGATCTTGTAAAGGGCTAAGCTTAATTCCCAAATACTGCAAATGGGGGAGCTGCTCGGCTTTAAAATATCTGTGCCATGAAGTATTGTGACAATTATTAGACAGGATAGCTGATAAACTCAGTAGTCATAAGAGTTTGTTTTACTCATGACAACGCAATTAATGCAACTATTGTTCTCTTACAATGGACCAAAACATGCACAGTAGTCGTATGATTTTATGTAAGTTCAGTTAACCTCCCCTCACACTAAGATACTGTGTGATTGTTTGATGCAGGTAGGTGTGACAGCAAGTAAAAGTTTTTTACAAAACACCAAAATAAAATGACTTTTTTTTTTCCTGTGATACATTTCTGAAAGCTCTTTTACTGTTTAACTGTTAATATGTACTCTACCTTGCAACATTGTTTTCTCTCAGCTAACAATTACGCAATTTGTCTTTATTTTGTTCTCATCTATCACTGTTTGATGGAAAATTCAGTGTGTATGTTCCAAATCTTATTTCCTGAAGCAACTCTGTGAAGATTAAAAGTACCATCTCAAATATATCAAACTCTCAACAGTTTAAAACTGTCAATAGACAGTAGCTTAGGACACTATAATCACAACATTACAGTAGAAACAGCTGTCGTGGTTTAAGATGTTACTCTTAAGAAAGGTAGTTGAGGTAGTTTACTTGAAGTCTACATACACATCTCCCCTTTAACTTGTCTGGCCTTCTTGGCTGAAGTTCCTAAGCAACTTAGCATGTTCTTCATGGTCAACAACCTGAGCAGTTGCCAGAACAAACAGGGGAGCAAGGAAGGAGGGAAGGACAGAGAGCACATGTGTGTGCTCACATGAGTGTGTTTAAAATGGAATGGAAAATGAGAAGGGAGATTCATTTGTGGCAGCATTCAAGTGCTATCTTGGGGCATAAAACAGATCTTGGTAACGGCTTGCTGTTCATCAGCTACTTGTTACTTCCTCCATGAAGGAAACACTTCACACTATGTTAGCCTCCTCTTCTGCTTCACAGCAGAGTAAGGCAGTTCAGTTTCAATAGTCCTCAACAGGTTAAGGTAAAATCCACATGGTTTTACACTGAAGTGGGTGAATACCAACAATTGTTTCTGTAACTCAGCTGAGTGGTCAGCAGGACCTGATATAACACAGAGTGGTGAAGATACTACTGCTTATTTCAGCAGTGTACTGTTCATGCAGAAGCCTACAGAACAGCTATCTGGACATACCAAACAGATAACCTCTTTCAGGGTCATGCTCCTGGCAACAGTTTCCAGTATAGATCACAATTACATATAAATACTATAGAAGGGAAAACATTCATGAAAACATTTATTACAAACTTGAAGTAAACTGGTCAAATGAGTTAATGCAGAAACATTGCTCCCAGGAACAGACAATAGTATTGATCTGACACAGAAGATTAGCAAAAAGTGCCAAAGCAGCCCCCTGGGTTGGAGAAAACCCTACCCACAACCCCAGCCCCGAAAGACCCAGCTCGAGGGATTTCAGAATCCTCTCTAGTTCATACTACGGACCTTGAGACACCATCAGCCACTCAGTTGTAATTATTTACAGCATTGCTTGTTCATTATTGGCTGCAACCACGTTAGCAGTTTGGTTCAGAACAATGAAGCAGCTTTGAAGAATTACGCACACTTACCGCTTTAGTCTGATTTTAGGAACAGTTTCTGTGCATTAATGAGATTCTTTCACCAAACTATAGGATATGCTGCAACTATGCACCAAATACACTTCAAATATTAATAGTAACACACATCTGAACTAATAATTGGTCCTTCAGACAATCGCCTACATGGCAGGGTTGCCTGGTCCTAAAGGTCAGAGTAAATATGGTCTACAGCAAAATCCCCAAGCCACGCCACATGCAGATTAGATGAATGCACCTCAGTACCAACTGTTCATTGTCCTATTGCACCAAATTACCTGCTCGTGCACATACAGTCACTGTCTTCCTCTTTGTACTGCCTTCCAAGTACAGTTAGCAGAACCAAATCCAGGTGTTGAGTTCAAAAGTCAGCCCTCCAGCAGGTTAACGCAAGCTGCTGACTTCAAACTGAAGTAGCTGACACAAATTCTTGTGTTCATCTCCACTGACTTTGCTGAAGGTTACTATGCTAACAGTGGTAGGGCACAGAATTGTATCCTCACAACTAGATCTCCTGAAGCATCTACATCATCTACATCTAGATCCCGTGAAAAAAACCCGAAACCCACCCAAAGACTGTCTTCCTGCGTGACATGTGGCATTTTGAATATACTTTATGATTAAGTGACAATGAAGGTCATACTAAGTGCGGACAGTTCATGCAACCTAACTGGTAAAACACAGACTGAAGCCAGGCATTTAAAAAAATCCTTTCCTGTTTGTTGTTTGGGTTTTTTTCCATTTGTTTTGTTTTGTTTTGTTTCATTCTGTTTGGTTGGTTGAGTTTTGGTTTGGTTTTGTGGTTTTTTTGTGGGGTGTGTGTGGGCAGTTTGGGGACTTTTGTTTGTTTTGATTTTTTCTTTTTTATTGTTTTTTAAACCAATGAGCAGCCTCCTGTCATCAGGCCTTTAAACTGCAGAAGAAAAAAGCCCAGAATTTTATGTTACATGAACACCAACATACCATGTAAGTAGATTTTAATTTTATTAACTATGGTCTGATTATTCTTCAATATAGCACTATCATTTTATGCTAGACGAGGAATTACGTGCTCCAGATCTGCTCAGTTTTTCAGAGAAGTCAGATTACATGCACTTGAAAGACCTCAGTTTGAAACACGGAGTATAGTCTTGCTTGGTATTTCTGTGAACTAGCATGTTGCTTACAGCAACAAAAATAAAGGAAACGAAAATAAAAAATCTGAATTATCACAGTTTTCACTTAGCCACCATTGCCAAGAGGCTTCAAATACAGTAAAGGACATCACAGATGAGCCCCTTTACACTACTAAGGAGAAACACGTAGTCAAACAACTGTTGTCTTGTAGTGCCAATCTATACTGAGACTTTTGACAAGTGATACCACATCTCTGGGTAATCACCACATATTATCTAGGCCATGAAGAGACTGGATAACAGCAATCACTTACCAAGTGAGAAAATAAAATGAAGTCCTTCCAAACTTTTAACAGACTGCATATAGAAAAATATTCCAAATTTTATTCTGGAATTGCATATATTGCAGCAATATTTTAACTATATGTCAGTCTATCACAGTAACAGATGCTTTTTAATCTAGAGTTTGGGTGCTAGAATAGTTTATATATTGTTCATAAACTTTATAAGCAACCTTTGCTTACCCTTTCCAGCAGTATTTCTTGCAGGGATAGTCACTTTGGACATATAATGTACACTGATCTTCTGACACTGTTCAGTGAAACCTACAAAACACTAAATGCCTAACAAAGATTGCATCAGTTCCTGTACGACTGCAAAAAAGTTTAGATGCACGCGAGGCTTCCAAATAAAGATGCATCCTAAAAAAGACACACCAAAAAATGGTATGTCCTAAAGGGAGGAACCAGAACAACCATTTCAAGGAGTGATCAACATTGCAATTGACTGTTAAAATTAGGGGACTGTTTGGAAAGGTCTTGAGAATCACATCACCTCTATTGTTTTATAGCCAAAATGAGGTAAAGTAGGTCAGTTCTAGCAGGAAAGCATTTCGGTATGCACCCTTCAGGATTTACTTCTTGTTTAGTCTCCGGCTTGAGGCTTTCTACCTCACACCAAATTCGTGGTCAGAACAAACATAATTACAAGATTCTCTACAAATACTACACAAAAAAAGGAAGAACGAAGGCATTCTAATGCAGCAAGTCCCAGTATAAACGTACCCACTAAATATACAGACCAATACAAACACATGGTAGCTACATTTGTGAAAGTTACGCTGTTGGTCTATTTATATGGCAGCTGCTTCTGCACGAATAAAACAGCCTCCTCAAATGTGGTCGTGTTCAGCCAGAAGAGTGTTATTGCCAAAGCTCTACAATATTAGCATCCTAAATAACTATTTTCAAATAATTCATATTTGGTCTATTGTTAAAAATTAGCATAAGATAAACATACAAAAGCAAGTGTCATCCAGTTCATAAAGATGCTTCATGTGGAGATCAACTTATCCACTACAGTGAAAGGTTAACAGTTTACATTACAAACTTATGCAAAGTAAAACTTCAGTTTAAAAAAAACCCAAACAACAAAACACACCATTTTGAATTGTATGTGCTAGGAGAAAAATCAGACAAGCAGGACATAATTTCACCAGTGCTTAAAATCACTGCTGAAAGATTAGAGCTCCAGAAAGCTCAAGAGGTCATTAACATTTGCACCATTATTTACTTTAACTTATTTAGCTGAATGACCAAGTGATCTGAAAACATAAAGCCCTACTCTGTATTTAACCAATAAAATAGTAACTTAATTTTACAATAAACTACTCTACATCCCTTGGTGCCTAGGCTGAAAATTGTGATTTAGTACCTGATGGGCTCTGTGTAGCAGAAGGAGTGGATGTTGAGCTGGCAGTCACTGAATCACAGCGCCCTGTGCTCCCACTGGAAGGTGACGGTGATGAGAGTGGTGATGGATTGTGCTGATTTATACACTGGGCTACAGCAAAGCCTGCAAAACAGGACAATGAAGTTTATGAGTTATTAATTAGCTTGAAAGAGTTAGCCCACATGAACACATTGAGAATGGGTAAGAGCGATCATTGCATCAAAGTGATGTTAATTTCATGCAGAGACCCAGAGGATGCACTCTCTCTCATCTTCACCTCAGATGATGAAGACAGACAGAAAAAAAGCTAACATCTGTTCTGTTAATAATCTGACTTAATCTGTGGTCCCACCTCTTACTCTCTACTTCCCATGCTTATACACAAGAACTACTCAAAACCACTTGCAGAAAGAAACGCAATGCTATCTGAATTGCTGTTAGCACTTGCATCATAATTTTACACGGGTGCATGCCACTTTCATCAAGCTTTTCTCTTATTTTCAGTTACTGCTCATTATGTACAAGATGAACACCACTTGAAAGAATTAAATAACCGCTAAGGCAAGAGATGTCTATGTTAGTTAAAACCAAGATATTTTGGTAAGCAACTAATTATTCCACAAATGTAATTTATTTCATGTATTTTATTTCAGAAACCAAACTGATTGATCTTCTACAATCACTTAGATAAGTTAAACTGAGGTTACACACAGCAACGCCCAACAGTCTGCAATAACTTAACCACAAACTAACTACCTCAAACGTGAAAGACTTTTATGGCACTCAGGGACACTGATATATATAGTTTTTAATATACCAAATGTGCATTAGGTTTCTCATACATACTTCACATTTTGAAACACCAATTAGCATGGGAAACAAGGAATAATCAATGGACTTGTGACCACAGAAGTGAGGCAAAGTCATCTGTTAAATTGAATGAAACTTTGTTTTGGAACAGTTACTAAAGCCATTGGTATAAGAGTATATTTTGTTTCCCTTAAAGTGCTGGAAGAAAGTGCACCCATCCAAGGCATTCTATATCCACAAAAGGTTTGCACTTCAAGAAAGGAGAACTCTTCCATCCTCACCAAAATAGTAGAAATTGTAGAAAAAGTAAACAAGGTCTACTGGGATCATCATAGGAAAAGCTGGTCTGATCCAGCAAGATTGCCTGTCTAAAGGTTCTGCAAAACAGTGCTCATGGATTCACAAAGCATTTGCTTGCAAATGATCTTAACATATTTTCTGTCCCAATACCACTGCAGAGGAAGGATTTTAAGTGTGCAACTGGAAGGTAATTTAGCTGGGAGAGAACGGTAAAGCTAAATCATTCAAAATAGTAACTGGGAAATCACTGACTAAGAACAAATATTCTAACCGGGAAACTCCTTCAGGAAATATCTGCAAAGAAAAAGTAAGTAGAATTAATCACGGCTACAGGAAGTAAAATAACACTAAAAAGGTTCTAGAGGTGCCTTTCTTACTACTTTATGACTCTCAAGTTGTGATAGAGATTAGTTAAAACCACAAATATTTCCTTTCCAGTAGTCACGATTCTGCTTCAACAAAACTTTCTATTTAAGACTCAGTAAGGTATTACTGTAAAGATGTACCTTCCTAGTTCCTTGGAGAAGATCTTATTTCATAAGACTGGGTTTCTTTCATAAAGCATGTACCTGTAGTTATCCTTTTGCCAGGTTTTACACAACAGCAGCAAAATTTCATGCCAAATCTTGTAATAGCTTATTAGCTTTTTTTAAAGGAGCTTTTTCATAATCAATTAATGCAAATCGTTCTCCTAAATTGGAGAAAATCTTCTTACTGTCTTATAAATGATTTCATGTAAAAGACTGCCTGAACTGTAAGATCAATGAAGAACCAAATTTGAAGGTGAGAAGGGGAAAGGGTGGCGGTGGCAGAGAACAGGACAAGCAAGACAAGGGGAAGAAGAAAAAAAAGAAAGGCCTGAGAAGTAGAAATAAAACCTTGGCAAAGAAAGCAGAAACTGTTTTGTCATTGTAAACCATACCTTCATTACCCCAACTTCTTTTTTTTTGTTTTTCGATTTCTTTCTATTCTGTTCTTGTAAGTGTAGTTATCTCATAAAAAATTCTCAAGTCCTTCCACAAGTTGGTCCCTAGTCAAATCAAGGCAATGATGAACTTGAGCTTTTTCGCAAGCGTGAATGAAAAAAACCCCAACTCTTACATGCCTGAAAACTATTTCTTTCACTAGTTATTCTGCATCTTTGCAAAGTGCTATTCTGCCTTGGAAAACCTGATGCACTTCGTAAAAATTTCGACTTGTAGAGATTGTTTACTTTTAAGAAACTCCAATACAACCTCATATAACTGAAAAATAACTGGTTTAATGCAAAGAAAAAAAACTGGAAAAAAAAATAATAGGTCACTTGGCGCTCTGTTGCCAGTAGCTGCTGCAACTTCAACCAGCATTAAAAAAATGGATTAACTGACATTTTTAGTCTCCACATTTGCCCTGCCATGTCAATATATGATGACTGTAGCTTTATTAACAGTTCTCATCAATTTAGTATACTTACAGACTAGTTTCAAGTCCAATGATCAGGGGATCTGCCATGGCTGATAATCTTTATGCCTTGCCAGCACATCCTCATTATGAGTGATCTGTGGTAACATTATTTATTTTGACTGTCCTTTAATGCACAAAAGAACTCTAATATTAAAGCATGCCACAATTTCTTCCATCGGCCACACAAGTGCTTTCTTCAAGTTGAAAGAAATTGGAATAGTTCAACTAGCATGGAGAGAACTAAAGCATACGTCAGCACTAAAACAGTAGGCTTGAGAACTGTCAGTCTCAGAATATGCTATTCTGGAGTGCTGGCTTTTTACTGAAAATAATCCTTGTAAATAGTAAACTCCCCAAATAGTAACAGTCAAAGATTGTTTCCAGACCTATTTCTTATCTAACTAGCAGTCCTGCATATTTAACTCAGTTTCAGTGACATCTTTCATTTCTTGCACACAAGCAGTAATTCATACTACATAAATCAAGCTAGTTATCTCTTCTGTAATCCTAGTGCTGTAGAACTACCTTAATTAAGCACTTATGCTTGAATACCTCTGCACAGAAATTATTTAGTTGTAGATCACTCTGATGAGGACAGGAAGATCACTATCTAGTTCATATCCCACAATTCTGATGATCAGGCAATATAAATAGGTATAAAAAAGGCAGCAGAGTTGTGTCTTTAAAACAGCAGCCGTAACTAAGTATCAAGCTTGGAATGGTTCAAAGAATGTTAGCAGTTGTACTCCATTCTTCTTGCATAGAACAAAGGAATTAAAAATACTTTAAATATACTTACAGGCTATAAAAGCAACAGTATCCTAGTATTATGGAGCATGGGACACTTAAGCTATCTCACAGTAGAAGAAACTTAGTACTACTTAAGTATACTATCCCAATCTGATGTTCCTACAGTAGGCGTGGTTGATGACGAACATGAAAGTGTTGATCAGAGTCCCACAGTACAGTTCTGAAGTAACTTGTATATGACATTCAAACGTGCTGAGCAACCTAACCTCATAAAATTAGGTAACAAGTGCAGATGCTCATCACCTGTGAATGTTAAGCCCCTCATTGGTACTTTGATCAAAAGGATCTGCTTTCTTACTGTAGATGGAGAAGGCAATTGAATTACAAAAGGTTATACACATTTCAAGAATACATTCATATTATTAATTTAAAAAAAAAATATCTGCAATTTTACGCCCACTTGTGACCTGCTAAAGAAGGGCACATAATTTTTTACAGTGTATAATATGCTTTTAGAGTTAATAATATTTGACAAAACAAAAATAAATTTACTTCACATAAAACTCAATATTCTCAAACACTGCTTGAACAGTTCTCGGGCTTTGTTTAAAGTTTTCCTATTCCCAACAAGTAATGCAAACTTCATATAGAATTCTCACCTACATTTTCTTTTTCATTTAAAGAGTTACAAAGCTATAAAAGACCATTTTTCTTCCTTCAAATTTTAAAATTAAGATGGTTATATTTTGCTTGCAATGACTAATATTAACAAGAACATTTTTTCCAACTTTTCCCCCCAAAATAGTATTAGAATCATCATATACTAAGATATTAACAATGGAGAAAATAGTAAGATAGACCTATTGATTTTTTTTTGCTTTCCAAAATAAATACTCAGTAGGAAAGTGACCACACTTGTTAAAATATCTATATGTACGTTTTGCAGGATATTGTGAAGATTTTCCTTCAGACACACTGAGCGTATAAATCTCAGTATACAGCTAGTACTTGAAACTAGTATTTGAGTTTGCTTCGAGAGGAAGTAACTGTTTGTTTACTTTCCATGTAAGACCTATGTTCACAGGACACCCATCAAACCTGCTCTCTTCTTTGAAAACAATGTAATTCTTTATTTACGTAAAGAGTACTTCAAAAGCATCACATGAATACCTAGCTAATATTTAAGATGGTAAACAGTCCAGCCAACTAAACTATCCCTAAAATGCTCTAACATTGTGGCAAGGGCCACTAACCTAAAATAGACCCTGAAATATATTCATGGTCATGACTCAAGGATGGCAAAATGATCAAGTGAAGGATTTTGCTTCTGTCCTTCTCCAATTAGAATTGCCCGGTTTATCAGGCCAGTCATCTGGGATGATTACATCATCTCACCGCATTTGCATAACCCGTACTTTTTGTAAAGAGTATTAACAGGGATGGTCCTACTAAAAAAAAAAAGCGAATAATCTTTTTAAAATATTGCCAGAAACATAGTTCTCCTTAAAATCAACAAAGCCCACCATCACCAAGGGAAAGCATAACCTGTTTCTTACAAGTATAATCAAATTAACATGTTTCTATTATTGGGTTTCTCACAGACCATATGAGCTTTGCAGAACCCTTAAACACCACTTAAAGTTGTAGCATTAAGAAATGAATACATGAAGCTAGTAATTTAACTGCAACTTGTTCAATAACCTCTTAAACAGGCACAAAATCTTTCTCAAAGTAAAAATCACTCCAAGCCTTATTAAGGGATAAACACAAAGAGATTTCTAGCAAAATCACTCAGAACTAGGAAACTTCATTCATTTGTTAGCGAAGATAAGGGGAGAAGGAAGAGGCATTCGATATTTATTTTGTAATCAGATGTAAAACAGTATATTAAACCATTTATATTATATTACTGGCTATCAAAAAACGAATTTTAAAAATGCAGCATTTGAGATACTTCATGTTCTGTGCCTGGTTTCTCATGTTTGGTATTAACTAAAAGTTTCAAAATGCTTTTTCCTCTGGATTTGCATGTGCATGCAGTGGAAATCTTCATATCCTGGAATTCAAAGTAAGTATGTGGTTGTTTGAACAAACGATCAAGTTGCACCACACTCAACATCCCCCCCCACCCCTCCCCAATTTATTAGATGAAGTCACTTCTTATGAACACCAGCACTCTTAGAAGAGAAGGTTAATTCTGAAACAGTAACACTGGCATTTTTTCAAACACACCTTTCCATGGAAGTCACTTCAAATAAGGAAATACATTCCTGTCATACAACATACGCTTGTCTTCTGAAAAACCTGACTGGCAATATAAATGCTTTTATGATTTCTGTTCCCCAGACTCAGGACTTGGGCAAGCTGAGCTTCAATTTAGTCCTAAGGAAGTAGAACATCTGCTTTCGAGGTAGGGCATTTGAATTTTGAATCACCGAATCACATTTAAAGAGAAATGCCAAGTTTTGTGAAATGATTGGCAGCTACCGGTAACAAGATTGCATCTTTTAGTATAATACAACACAATTAAGTACTTTCAAGCAGTATGAGATTCAACTTTAAAATAACTCAATCCAAAAGGAGAAAAGTTCACCACCTGGAAAAAAAGTTCTGCAGAGAATTCAGTTTGTGAAATAGACAATAAGGAGACAAAAGAGCAAAGAGCTGATTGATTTAGGATCATTCCTTTAATCCCAATTTCAAGGTTATGTTTTAGGAGTAGCTATGGCCCTTTGCTGTCTTGCTAGCTCAACAGTAAACAAAGCAGTGCACAGTATGCCAGCTGTTTTTACAAACTGGCAAGAAATGATCATAACCAAATTAAAGAAGGAACTATGTACAACTGACAGATGCATGCATAAATACTGAGTATCTGAAACATGACTCAATTCGTAAAGGAAGGCAAAGTATTAAGACACTTCCAGTGTATTTGGAGAAACTGCCATAGATGTATTGCTCACAATGTACCTGGAATTACACCCAGGCATTACTTGTTTCTCTAGGAGTAAATTTTTCCCTAAGCCTCATCCTGGAGTTGTGTATTCAGAAACATATTATAGTAAGCTTTTCATTGCTTACACAAGTTACAGTTCACCTTTTGCAGGTACAAATCACAAAGAAAAAACTGCTTGATAATGAATGCTAATCTCACCTGGAACTTTGTCAACAGATGCAAAAACAGAGCGTTGTACTGTAGGATCGCTGCTACCACGTCGGGACTGGTCATAAAATCTAAACGGAAGGTGTTGAGCTGTAGCTGCAGAGCTGTGTCCAAAACCCATAACAACTTCAGTTGAAGGCTGAACAGGAAGATCCAGGAGAGCTATGTTTAATCAAAATTGAAAATTTTTGTTACTCAAAAATACATAAAAGGTGTAGTAGGTGAAAATAAAATTGCTAGTTTGCTCAGGATCTTAAGGTGAAACCAGATTGTTTAACATAACTTGCTCGCATTTACCTCTTAATTATGGTTGCAATTGCATTGGAAAAGAAGAGAGACAACATTTCTGGCAATGTTTTCTACCATTGCTGTCCACACCACATTTACACTAAGGAAGCCTCAGAACACAGTGCAGGAGAAAAAAAAGGATTACAGTAAGCTCCTCGCATGAAACAAGCCATAGCAGTTATTTAAAAAACATGTTCAGTTTTTCCCTGTACAAAGTCATCCATTAGTTACAACTGAACACTGCAGAAAGCCTTTTAAAGAGACAATCTGCTTTAAAGTGGAAAAAAATGCCATTCAACCTAAAATTTTAATATCAAAATAGACCTGTATTAACCTCAAACTTGCTTTATATTTTTTAATGTGAAGCAAGCCATAAAAGTATGACATATCTCTTCTGTAAACACAAAAAATAAAACACTTTAGTTAGCTTCCTACAGAATCATAAGACACTAAAATAATCTTAAGCTATCTATAATCAGAATAATTCTCTGGCCAACTCAATAATTTTAATACCAGCTATGAATTTGTTTTTCACAACTCTGATTAGTTCATTATTGGTCTTGGACAATCCATGTAACTAAGACAGCTGATGACCTCCTTCATTTGCCCGCCTATTTTCCTTCCTGTATTTCAGAGTTTTGTTTTCTCTACTTACCGATTCATTCAGTTTACTAGTAAACTTCAATTTATTCTTCACTCACTTAATATTCAAGTAATATTTTAATCACTCTTTGCTATTTACTCAAATTAACTCTTTCCTTCATCTCTTCATATGTGTTTCCTCCAAGCCCAGAAATCTAGCTGCTGATACTCCCCTTAATATTTTGGATTGCTCATTGTCACCACTTCCAAGCATTAAGCATTATCATCAACGCTACCAGGACACCATCCAACTCAGGACTTGGGCAAGCTGAACTCCAATTTAGTCCTGAAGCAGTAGAACATCTGCTTTCTAAGTAGGGCATTTGAATTTTGCATCACTGAATCACATTTAAAGAGAAATGCTGAGCTTTGTGAAATGACTGGCTGCCACTGGTAAGAAGACAGGATTCCTTCTTTTTCATCCTTTCTTTGATGTGTCTATCTTTAAATATGAAAACACACACTTTAATAAAAACTTGGAAACTAGACACTGGTTTAGAGTTTTCTATGGCACACCACTTCTAACACATCCTTATGTTACAGAGCAACTTGCTATGACATACAAGTCTTGTTTCTCAGAATAGTTTAAAAATAACCATATACCTGCTATTCTCTGCATTTTCATACGCCGAGCTTGGATACGGCCTTTTGCAAGACGTTGTTTTGCAATAATGCAGCGAATGTGATCAGAAAAAATAAATGTAGCTTGAAGGATGGGGAAGGGCTTAGAATGAGGACTTGAGGCAGGCTTATGAATTATTATGTTCAGAGCTCTACTGTCATCCTCTACTCCCGTCACCTGCATATCCTAAAAAGAAACAGAAGACAAGTGGCTAATCAAAAAGTTAGCATTTTTAAACCGTAGATTAAATATCAACTTTAAAAGAAAACTCTATGAGTGGTCCACAAAAGCTCCTAAAAAACCAGTTTCCATGTTCAGAAAAAAAAAAAAAAAAGGACTATACAAGTTGTAGAACCTTGGATTTAGTTCTTCAGAAATTGGTACTTGGAGAGATTAAGTCAGTTTAAAATTCAGTTAAGTTATTTGAGCATAGCAAATTTTCAGTAAATACAAACAGCATTGGCTTAGGCAAGAAAGAAACTTCTTCAAGTTTTTGACATCAGTTAGATAAGTACAGATCATTTTGAAGTTACAACCTGTCACCTTCCCTACCCATACAGGAAAATCAGAACTCTAGGACAGTTCATTACTGTGCCACTTAGGGCAAGTGCTTGGGAATCAATCCTCATTGTAAACGATTTCAGTGTTCAAATGAACACACCCCAATATATATTGGGGAAGTTACCTCATTTTCAAGTATGCTTCTAGATAGCTACGTAAACTTCTTCAAGAAACAGAAATAGTTTAAAAGGCAAGAACTAGAAAAAGGACTAGTAACAGCATAAACAAGTAAGCATGCTGCAGAGCTTAAATATATAAGCTAATATTGGTATTACTATTTATCCAACATAAATGTAGATTTTCAACTGAGGAAAAAGTAACAACCCAGATTAAAACTTGTCTTACCTGCAAAAGGCCTGCAAACTTAACTACTCCCCATCCAAGTCTGGCAACATCTGGCTCGACCAAACTCATCTGGTAAATATCCACAGCCAGGAATCTTTGAACTTGACCCCCATCCTTTGTTATGACTGTACAAGCAATTAGATCACTGTTATCTGAAAAAAGAAGGAAGGGAGAGAGGAAGGGAGAGAGGAAGGGAGAGAGGAAGGGAGAGAGGAAGGGAGAGAGGAAGGGAGAGAGGAAGGGAGAGAGGAAGGGAGAGAGGAAGGGAGAGAGGAAGGGAGAGAGGAAGGGAGAGAGGAAGGGAGAGAGGAAGGGAGAGAGGAAGGGAGAGAGGAAGGGAGAGAGGAAGGGAGAGAGGAAGGGAGAGAGGAAGGGAGAGAGGAAGGGAGAGAGGAAGGGAGAGAGGAAGGGAGAGAGGAAGGGAGAGAGGAAGGGAGAGAGGAAGGGAGAGAGGAAGGGAGAGAGGAAGGGAGAGAGGAAGGGAGAGAGGAAGGGAGAGAGGAAGGGAGAGAGGAAGGGAGAGAGGAAGGGAGAGAGGAAGGGAGAGAGGAAGGGAGAGAGGAAGGGAGAGAGGAAGGGAGAGAGGAAGGGAGAGAGGAAGGGAGAGAGGAAGGGAGAGAGGAAGGGAGAGAGGAAGGGAGAGAGGAAGGGAGAGAGGAAGGGAGAGCACTGTTATCGAAGGGAGAGAGGAAGGGAGAGAGGAAGGGAGAGAGGAAGGGAGAGAGGAAGGGAGAGAGGAAAAAAGTTACGTAGCTACTGAAATTAACGATTCTGGGTTTTGGTTGTGTTATGTACCAGAAAATGTTAACATATAAAAGTGTAATCATCTTCACAACACATGTTTAAAATTATTCAAGGTCGGATTTTATATATTCTGCATTTCCTGACATATTTATAGTTGGGTATAAAGGGCAGGATAAATTCTAAAAACAGTGGTTCAGATATCTTACAAGTTACGTATAACATGTGGTATATGCACCTTGCTTTCTCTTACCACCTTCATTACCTTTTAGTATAAAAAGTCACTTCCTGTCAGGGGTGAAATTGCAACAGTGTTGATTTCTCTTACTAAGTGGAAGTCTCAAAAAGTCTTGTTGCAAGACCACAAGTACAGTCCTACACCACTGCAGGCAATTACGTCTACCTCATTATAAACTTAGGCTCCATTCAGACACAAGTTGCATTTCTACAGATCTGAAACCTGACTATTCTGACTGTTCTAAGTCGCTCAACTTCAAGACTATAGGGGCTCTCCAGGTAAACTGTATCAGGTTTTTACCAATATTTGTTAAATGAGGTGACATTTTTTTCCTTTAACCACCCATTTTATGCATTTATATTGAATAAACATATCCTCTCTTAACCATTACTCTAGAACCCCTCAAACACGCCCCAAAATACAGATCTCGAGAAGCAAATACACCACTCCCCGATCCTCCTGCGTCTCCTCACTGCACCTGCTTCAGTTCAAACCCATCATTCTTGAAAAGTGACTAAATCACCTTCTTTATGCCAGCTGGAGCCTGAGCACCCCACAAACTGGCACTGACACCTCCTAGCAGACCTTCGCTAATCTTAGTAGAGTTGCCTTTTCCTTTGCTTTAAATTGATACTTTCATTCACATACTTAATACATAAAGGTCTTTTTCCTCTGTCTCGTCTAATGCAAGTTACAGCAAGTAAAAGATTCTATAACCATGCATGTTGTCCTCCTGAGTTCATCATCTTTGCAATTCTAGATAGTACTCCAGACAATTTGATGGATTTAGCAAGCTAAGTTGCAGCATTTTCACTATTTCCTGCAATAGTTTTGATTGGGTTTTGGTAGTGGTGTTTTGGGGTTGTTTTTAGATAGAAAACATCCTATTTGAAAGCAATGAGTTCTACATTTTGCTTCTACCTTAGCCATAGTTTTTCAACACACTCATTCTGCTTAGAGCTCTCATTCTTTAGTATTGCTAAGGCATTGACAGACTCAGCATTTTGGAGTTATTAATTCAAACAGCCTTTCCTAAAACGAGGGTTCAATACTGTAGGCTTCAATTGCTGTTGAGATGCATGAGGCTTTTTTCCCCCTCCTATTCTACATACACACACTATTTTTAAGGATGCTACATTTTTAGACATGTGTCTATATACTGAAATCAGTTTGGTAAATGGTATCATTTATATATGTAAGTATCTTTCAAAAAGGCTGCCGTCTTATTCAGATTTTTTTAATATTTATCTGAAGGGAGCTATTCTAACACACAGAATTCAATGTATCTTTAATACTTATGGCAGTATCTCCATACTGAACACTGTTGTTAGGAGCATCCGAAACCCAGCTGTAGCATTTTTCACATTATTTACACAAGTAACTGGATTTGGATCACTCCGAATACATAATGTGAGGTTGCTGAATTTTGTGAATAATATATTGTGAGATTCTCAATATATAGGCCACAACACCAGAGTTGTGAAGTTGTCAAATACTTGGTTTTGTTCAGTATTTATACAGTTTTTAATGCAACAGCAAGCAGATTGAATTACTTGGAATTACTGCTGTACAAATTCAACTGCCTGACTACAAAAACACAGTACTTAAGGTGAAGAACTCAAAGGGCAGAAGTTTTCCAGCGCAGACATTTTTCATTTTAGAACTCACAAAAACTTAAAGTAAAGCATTACTGTAAAAGTTTATCGAAGAACAGAAAGGAAAATTACTTATTTATTAGGCAACTGTTACAGGAATCTTTTAAGTTTATACAACTGAATGTACCCCATTTACATGACTGTTTCTAGTTCACAGCTGCTGAAGGGTCATAAGCTACAGTCATCCTTTATGACAAAAAAAGAAGAGAAAGTGTGGTTAAACACATTTCCAGAGAAGTGACCAGAGCTATGCTATAAAACAGTTATGGACAGCCAACCACATTTAGATGAAAGAATTTCAAGGCAGTAAACTTCAGTAACTGAAATTCGATCTGGCGATCAAAGTGAACTACAGAGTGTACGGCTCACTCATGTGACACTGCTGCAAAAAGGTGTAGTGTCATTTCTGAGATTAAAAGCAATGCTTAGTTTTTCCTCATGCAAAATGAAGCTTGTAACCAGCTTGGACACTACACCTCCAAGACATGGATCCAGGATTTCTTTGGACCTTCTCCAAGAAAAATACAACTTTTACGAAATGCAGCCTAGGAAGAAGGTTCAAAGACTTCAGCTACTTGCAACAAAGATTTAAATTAAGTGAAAATATTGCACAAACACAGGCAACTATTTGCCTAGAAAGATTGTATTATATGAAGCCTTTATGAATACAACAGCTACTTTAGGAGACGGTCTAAATGTACCTGACCTGCCTAAGGGCTTGACCTTTAATGAATTTATAGTCATCACAAGTCTAAAAATCATCTGCAGACATTAAAAGCTCCTACAGAAAATGTTTAGCACTATGTGTGCACAGGTGGCAGTCCAAGATAAGAATTAGGCTGCAGATAGTTAATGCACCACCTCCCACTTCACACAAAGAACTTTTTCCAACAGCATGTAGCTCATTTGGTACAATGCTTTACTACTTACTGTAACAGTCTTTAATTGCAAAGAACTTCAGAGTTAAAGTTTTCCAAGTGCAAAATGAGTTTATAGAGGAATATACGATCTTGACAGAACTACGGCAAATTCCCCAAATATACTCAGTTTACAAAGCCATTTCAACTTTTATGTAACTCCCATGAAACCATTATCTGCACCACACTCTATCCAAAATGTTCTTGACAAGCTATGTTTTGACCATATTGTTGAAGAGTTAAAATTAATTACTTCTGTTACTCTTCACAATAAACAGCCCTCTTTCAGAGAGGATCAGAATTACTTTCTCTATATGTCTGCCATATCTCTTTTGTCCAGTAGAAAGTTCTCAGTTTCAGTAGAAAGCATCTCAGTTCACATATTAGTCCCTGCTCTAAGTTAGGACAGGATGCCACTGCCCTTCTTGAGCAGTGAAGCACTTTTCCCATCAAGAACAGCAGAAAAGAGCAAGAGTAACTCCTAAGAGTCATTTGAAATCTCTGTTCTTGCAAGAAACACTAACCGCTTTAAAAGAAAAATTCTTCTTTATCTGAAACAAGTGCTGAAAAATTCATTAAAGAAAAAGGTCTCAAAGACAGTAATAAGGCTAAAGACTTTTTATACAAGAAAAAGACCATGTCAAGATTTACTGAACAAAAAGGAAGATTTAGAAAAAAGGCAAAGAGGTTTAAGATGACCTTGGAAAGAGGGAAAAATACAGAACTGTATACACATCAATTGAGAAGGCAAGATAAATCGAGGAGAAATCCAGGGTGCACATTTCAGAATGTAAACCAGAGAACAAGTCATGTTAAAGATGGCTTGCGTTGTGGGTTTTTCGTGTTGTTTCTGCTCCCCCCGTAAGACGTAAAATATGAAAAAAATGTCTTTTAAAAATCACTTTAAAAACTCTTGTTGACATAAAGTATGTAAAACCACAACTAAGTGTGGGGAAAAAAATAATCAGACCCGGTTTCTGGATTTGAGTATACACAAACAAAAACCTAGCGGAAGAAAGTAGCTAACAATTACGCTTACAAAAATAACATTTGCTCTAGTAGCCATCACAGAATTTTGAGAGCACATCTTTTCCCCATTACTGTTTTTGGTAATTTTTTTCCTCTGAATACGAAGATTTATTTTTGTGCACCTCCAAATAACTGAAAATAAGGGACAGCTTATAAATGCTAATCACACACAGGGTACTGCAACCAAGCAGAAGCATGCTTGCTCCTAAAACTTATTTCCCTGTAAACACAAGACTATTGATTACCAGCAGAGGGACTCCATATTGCAGCATCATTTTCTGGAATTGTCTCAAGATTGTCATGCTGCACTTCTGACAATATTCTTTTTTAAAAAAAAAATTTAAATACCTTGATTATATTTTTTTAAACAGATACCAGGTTCTTAAATACAAATCTAGCATTTGCTCCTGCCAGGTAGGTGTATTTTAAAAATATTTCAAACCAGTACTTATAAATCTAACAGAGACACTATCACAAGTAAAACATCAAATAATTAACTATTAGCAAACAAGCAAAACAGTCAAATTAAGCTCTTTCACATTACCACCAATAAATATAAGATTTGAACACCA